TTTACCCTAAAATTTTGCTTGTCCTGATAATTATGTCCGGCAGTATATTTGACGAAATTGTCCACCAGTAACGGGTCCCCCGGGTTCCGAGCGTCGACTCATCGGCCCGGACCGAAGGGGTTCGAGCTTGATCGAGATCGATTCGATTACCCAGTAGTAATGTGTCAATCCCGCGGATCCCACACGATAAATCCCGCAACTTCGATCCCGCGGAATCTCAGAGGGATTGGGGGATCCAGCATTTGCGGGATTGCATTCCCTACTTATATCGTTTTAGAAGAAGCTTTTATTTTAGAGAGGAGGTTTTCAATAGGAATTGAAATGTTTATAAAAGGCCATAACAACAATCATAAACTCGGCACTTTTAAATTTAAAAGTATAAATTATGGTTTAATTTATTAAACGGCTTCGGCACAGTTAATAGAATACATTGAATAAAGAATATTTTTTTTTATTCTTTATTCAATGATAGAATATAGGTATGGCAATGGTTCAGAATTTCTGCGAATTGTTTAAAATAGCCCCTAGCCGAGCACTAGCTGGAACAAATTTATTTTTAGGTTAAATTTATAATTCTACTAAATAATTCGAATTATTAATTCGATGGTGAAATATGAATTATTACTAATTATTCGATGGTGAAAATAATTCGATTATTCCCATCACTAAGTTAGACAGAAGAAAACAGGAAAAAACAGCCATCCGACGACCGGTTTTGGGATTTCATCATCAACAGGCTGTTGTTAGCAACAGACTTTGCTGGATCCTTGGATTTGACAAACAAAATGTAGTAATAGCATTGGAGTACCAAGAACACTACTACAATGACGAGGACTAGATGCCCTCGCCATCTAGCGGCAACATCGTATAAATCGGACCACTAAATTGAAAAAAAAACAATTAAATAATTTGGATTAAAAAGTAACAGTAGGCATATTTCTCATTCTACAACAGTAGGCATCTACAAACAGAATCGCCAGTATCTGAAACCGCATCATTTTATTCAGCTTCTTTTAACGAGCACATAATATAATTTGCATTTCTTGAAATTCACGTATGCAACTTAACTGCTGTTTTAAGTCTCTAATAAAAAGTACCACGTTTATACCAGTTAAATTAATGTTATGTACTCTTTATTGATTAGAACTAATAACCTGTTTTTCCACTCTTGTATACAGCAACTAGCATTTTTACTAATATCGTATGATCGAGATAAAATATAATTAAACGAGCTTTGGAACAGATAGTAAGAAAATACATTTGCGAAAAGCTGCGAAGGTTTGTGGTGAAATGATGTTGAATAAAAAGCTGTACTGAACTATTATAGTACTAGTACTCTACTATTAATTTATAATGGACACACGGCACAAAATAGATTTTACCACCGCAAAAATTATGATGAAAAACCGATAGCCTCTTAGAAAAAATAAAAGTGGCTTTTTTAATTCAATCTAATATAAATAAATGTATTGCTTAGGCATTTGTAGACTTTAGCAATGTATGCCTATCGTTTCTTTGATTTTAATATCAAAATTAGCAGATTTGATTTAATATTTTAATGCAAATTCGCATAATTTAAAATTGGGGGGGGGGGTTCGGACATATTGAAACTGATTTAATTTTTGGCGAATATTCGCTGCGAATTGTGTTTTTAGGTTATATAAATTTACTAGCGTGTACCAGCGACTTCGTTCGCGTCGAATTAATCATTTGTAGTGGTGATGATAAAGCAAAGCAAGAATTTCCATTAACATACAAACTGGATAAAATTTTCTCACATTTATGTTAGCATGAGAAAAAACAATATGTCGATATTATTATATAACTTATGATATAGATAGATATAGATAACGTATTATTTGAGGGGTAGTTTCATCTCGTTGGAATTTGACTTTCGAAAAATCCGTTTGCCAAAAATAAGCTTTTTACGTCAAGTAGTTTAAGCAGAATCGTGGTTAATCAATTACCCAACTTTTTAGAACACCCTGTATGAGTTTTTAAAAAATTTCAGAATATGTACAAAAAAACAAATAAATTATGCTTGTCCAAAGCGTTTTCCCGAAAGACTAACCGTTTTTTAAATAACAAATATTGTAATATTTGAGGAGCGTTTTTACCCTCTTGGAATTTGAGATTCGAGAAACCCCTCCTTATCGAACCTCTACACCCCACAGTCAATCCGTTTGCCAGAAATCAGCTTTAAATGTCAAGCAGTTTAAGCAGAATCGTGATTACTCAGTAGTCATATTTTATGAAACACCCTGTATAAATTTATAAAAAATCTTAAAATATGTAAAACAGCAAAATAAAATATACGTGTTTCAGCGTTTTTTCGGAAACTTGACCGTTTTTTAAATAAAAAATATTGTAATATTTGAGGGGTGGTTTCACTCTGTTGGAACTGGAATTTCGAAAAATCCCTTCTTATCGAACCTCTACACCCTAGAATCAACCTGTATGCCAAAATTGAGCATCTTACGTTGAATGGTTTGAGCAGGATCGTGATTAATCAGCATGTCTGATTAATCCATGGTCATATGATGTCACCATGCAATGATTTTATATATTAGTATAGATTATATGTTATTTATTTCTTGTCATGGTTATAATAATAATAAAAGATTTCTTTAAGATGCAAGAAACTAAAAAGGTATGAAAAAATCGTACATAATCATTATTAGGTACTTATTTTTTTACAATCTATTTTTTTTTAATTTGTAATACGATATTAAATGTTTTGACTGTAAACTGCTAATGGGTATTGGTAAATTTTCAAAACCATCTAGAAATAGCCACGAAAAGTATAATTTTTACTGTCCTAATAAAACAATATGTATACTATTGTATATGTATACTGTGTCGTCAGCGAGAAATGGCAGTAAGTAAGTAATGTATACTATTTTTTTTTTAATTTTGATGTTCTCTAACGGACAAACGAAGCACTTTTGTAAAGTGGTAAATTATGTCCATTGAACTTATTTTCACTCAAAAAATAAGTAGTAGTTTACTATGTCCACGAAATATTGGGACCCCTGTATAATGTAAAAGCCGAACTAAACTATAGGAGTTACAAAGTTCAACTAATTTGCTTTCACGCCACTTGTCATTCTTGTCAAAACATTTGACAGATAGCAGGTAGCGCCACTCTCGAGCCTTAACTGAACTATGCATCATTATGGTCAAGTTAGACAACCTTTCAAACACTCTTCTATTTTAGTTTCTCTATGAGTAGCCCATTGTACAGGCTGACATGTGCTAAATCAGACCGTGCTTGAATTCGGCCTGCGCGTACAACAGTTTTTATTTTAATGTAATGAACTATAAGGGTGTTTCAAAAAACACGTGTCATCTCTCTTAGAGAGATTGCTGACGTAAAAATAAAATATATTTTTCATATCAACATATAGGTCCGATTCTGTTTTGTTTAGTAGTTATAGAGGGTTCTTCATCCATAGGGAGTCATCATCTTTCTTCCATTTATTATAATTTTCTTCTCAGTGCTATATTTGCGATTCGAATGAAATTTTGAGGGTCAAAGTTACTATATGTACGACATATTTTAATACTAAAAAGTGTCGACATATCCACCAGAGTCTTGCATATGAGTTATCACTGGAATATTTTTGTAAAAAAATGTACGCCACTGGCTTTTTTCTGTTGTAAGCAAAATTGTGTAGGCCCTTTAATGCCGATTGAAAGTTGTCTCTTGCTATCTTGTCGATTTCTGTCTCCTTCACCAAAAACCTAATTTTAAAATGCTTTAACATCCTGTAACTCTAAAACTATGTTTTTTATTTAATCCAAGTCAAATAGTAACCTTTCCTAATCAGAAAATCTCAAAAAAAGGTTCTTATAAACCTAGGTGCCGAAATGCATATTTGTAAAGTTGCATGCAGGATGTTCAAACTTTTTAAAAATAGGTTTTTTGTAATTATCTTCAATACCATTATTATTTTTTTAATTTGCTTTAGGTAGCACTTAGAACATCAGTGATTTTAAATTTTAATAAAATTTAATAATAAATTAGGCTAAATAAATAACTTATTAATTCAATTACTATTTTTATTTCATTAATTCTGATTAATAGAATTGCGTTAATCTCATCAAAGAGATCGAAATCGACAAAATATCAAGTTACAACCTTTAATCGACATTAAACGGCCTACATTGATTGACTGATATTGAATTGATTATTATTGATAATATGCACGACCTTGGTGAATATGTGAACACTTTTTAGCATTAAATTATATCGCATTTATAGTAGCCTCAAATTAGAAGTATCATTCAAATCGGTAAAAGCACTTAGATGAAAATTATAATAAATCGAAAAAAAAAATTAGCCCCCTGTAGCTGTGAAACAAAGCAGAATCGGTCCTATGTTAACATGACAAATAAATATTACTTTTACGTGAGGAATCTCCCCACTAGAGATGGCACATATTTTTTGAAACAACCTATATAAAATCATACCATGTTTAAGGAAAATAAAAAATTAGGATTATTGCGACAAGAATAAAAAAATCGGCAACTTATAAACACTTCATATACAGTAGAAAAACTAAAGGATATTGATTTGGAAGCGACTAGGGAAGCAGTTGTTGAATATTAATAATAAAAGAAGTTTTTTCAGAAAACAAAATAGAACAATATCTCAAAAAACATTAATTTAGCGTAAAACTACACAGTTAAAAGTGCGCAAACTGGCCTACTTGCCTACAACTGTGTAGGCAAGTAGGACTGCCGCTTGTGTTAAAGAACTGAGCGTCTGTGAGGCTCTTCTCAATCTATCCACCTTGCAGCAGCATTTTGTAGTAGTACTACGCGCATAGTTTCTGATACTAATGTACCAATCGTAGTAATTGATGTGTTTACACTCATACATACATACAGTGTAGTAGTGCGTTCAGTGTTTTTCGTAGACTTCTCATATACACAGGCTTTTTTGCCGAAGGGAACTTGATTTTCTGTTATATTTTACTCGTGTGTTTTGAGTGTAGATTTTTATTGTGAAAATGGGAGTCAATAATACCGAAAGGTCATCGTTTCACATGCAGAACAGGAAGTCCATGGACAGGCATCGGCGAAAGCAGAGCAACCCTATGCCCAGTTTAGCCCCAGATACGCTATTGAATGATACCAATACTGTTGTAGTAAGTACCACCGGTTGTTATCTAGAAATTATATTACTATATACAGGGTGGCGCACCTCATTCGCATCGGTTGATTGTACGAACACGGAAAGATGTAGAAACAAAATATTTTAGGAGTACATGTGGGGAGGCAATGTGCACAATTTAAAATTATTTTGAAATATACAGGGTGTTTAAGAACTAAGATCCATACCAAAGTTATATTTTTTCTTATGGAACACACACGGTATTTTATTTCATTTTTGGATTCCTGATCCCAAAAAAAGGCATTTATTATAAGTGTTAAATATGTTTAAAATCTTTGGTTTTTGAGATATTTAAATATATTTAAATTTGCATGCTTCTATAGAATAGATTATTGACACCCTATACATTTCTTTTTAGAATTAATTCTTGTGTTGAATTTAAAGGTGGAGAAATAAACTTTACTGGAAAATGTTATTGCTTCGTTAAATTTATACAGGGGTATCAAAAATTGCTGATCTATTTTAAGGATTTATTTTACATAATAACTTCGTTATTTCAAATACCATACCCTATATTTTTTATAATACATCATAAAATAATATCATCATGAATAATATCATTTATAATAATCATAAATATTTTACATAAAAACTTCGTTATTTCAAATACAATACCCTGTATTTTTTATAAAAAATCGAAGCAGATTCAAATGCTCTTTCAAACTTTTTTTTTTTAGCGAGGTGGAAAGATCTTTTATAGACGAAGTGTGGGACTCTTCCGATTGGACCTACCCACTAAAAAACCACCCCGTGTCTAACACCACTCATGCTGGAAACCGCTCTCGCATTACTTCAGCATGAGGGCAGCCCTCGCTTATTTGCGTTGCTCTTCCTTTTTCTTCAGTATTTTCTTAACCGTGGCATGTGTCGCGGTCCATAGTTTTTTACCGCCAACCAGTCCAGCATAATGCTCTCCACAGTGAATACTTGTGCAGTCTGCACCTCAAAATATTTCCTCTCATTAACCCAGCGTGGGCAGTTGAACAGAGTATGCTCAACATCCTCCTCCATTGTGCAATATGAGCATCTCTCAGTTTGTGATCGAGCACGTTTATAGAGGTATTTGTTAAAGCATCCATGACCGGAGAGGGCCTGGGTCATAAAATAGTCAACTCCCATTCCAGCTGCCATGCATTTAGTAAGTTTTCTCGTGCCTCCTGTTTATGAAGGCCCATATATGTTTCATGTCTTTCTCGTAGCATTAGGTGTATCGGGGAAATACCTGCCATAACCAAGGCTGCATCTCCCGAGATAGTCCTATACGCGCAACATGTCCTGATTGCTGCAACCCGTTGCAATCGGGCAAGCTTTATTTTATTTTGGGCTTTTGATATTGCTTGCATCCATACAGGAGCGGCATAAAGTAGTTGTGAATGGACTACCCCAAGCATGACTCTTCTTTTTGAAGCTCTTGGGCCCCCAACATTTGGTAGTAAACGTGATAGTGCTCTTAAAGATTTCTCAGCTTTCAGAATGGTCATGCCTATGTGCTCTTTAAAGGTGAGTTTTTTGTCCAGCCACACTTCCAGGTATTTGATTGTATCTTTCGGCTTTACTCTAGTACCCTCTACTTCGAAAACTACGGGAGAAATATTTCTCTTTGTGGAAATTACCACAGCTTCTGTTTTCTCCGGTGCTAATTTTAATTTATTACGCATCATCCAGGCAGAAACTTTAATAAGGGCAATGTTTGCTTTACTCATCAACAGATGTTCATTGTCAGCAACAACAACTAGGGCCACGTCATCAGCAAATCCAATTAACATCACGCCGCTAGGTAGATCTATGTTTAGCAGGCTGTCATACAATATATTCCACAGTGTTGGCCCCAACACTGAGCCTTGGGGTACGCCACTAGTGACACTAATAATTTTTGCGGTCCCTTCAGCTTCCATAATTATTCGTCTGTCTGTTAAGTATGACGCAATAATCTCAATCAGTTCCTATTTATTTCCCTTTCGACAAGTCTATTTAGAATTAATTGTCTAGATGCGCTATTAAAGGCATTTCTAACGTCCAACGTGATGACTCCACAAAGCTTTCGGTTTTGTGGGGCATAATCTGCTGCTTCTTTGGCAATTTTCATTACCTGCATAATAGCGTCTACGGTTTGCCTTCCCTTTCTGAAGCCAAATTGATTTATGGACAGGCCACCCGTCCTGTCAAGCTCATGGTTTAGTTTTGCAAGTATCATCTGTTCATAGAGTTTTCCTTCCACATCCAGAAGGCATATTGGTCTATATGCTGAAGGGTTTCCTACTTCTTTATTAGGTTTCTTGATGAGAATTAGCTTTGCAATCTTCCATTCAAATGGAAATATTTTCCTTTCCGCTAAACGGTTGTAAATAGTCAACAGATAATCGGGCTTCGCTTTCGTTATTTCTTTTAGTACTTCTCCTGGGATACAACCTGGACCAGGAGATTTATTATTTTTTAGACGCTCAGAAGACATATATAACTCTTCTAACGTAAAAGTAATTTTATCACAGTTAGTATTAAAGCTAGTATCACAGTTAAGTATCACATTAGGATCAATTGGAAACAGGCTTGAGGCCACTTCCACCACCTGGTGCATAGTAAGGTTGGGCCTGGCCTGAAAACCATTCATCCACTTCATTACTATTCTATATCCGTCTCCGAAAATATCACAGTCTAAGTTATCACACAATCTGTTCCAATGCTTTTTCTTAGCTTTCTTAATAGCATCTCTAAGATTTTTTTTGCTTTTTTTGTAATCCTCCCAAATCTTATTTATTTCGCTCTTTCAAACTATATTGTTTCCTATACCTATCTAGCTCAGATTTTGAATAAAGAGCACATTTTCAATAAAATGGCAACCAAGGCGGCTAGTGTTGTCATGGCAAGTTTCTAGTGACAGTTAGTAGCTATTTTCAAAATCGAAATTAGTTTATGGACTTATTTAAATATACAGGGTTGTTCACCACATACGACACGGAGTATTGTAGCTAAACGAATAGATTTTTACAAATTGTAAGTTTTGGGTTCGTTGAAGGACTATTAGAGCTACAATTTAAAAATATTTTTACATGATACAGAGTGTCCCAAATAAATAAAAAATATCAAAGTTGTATTTTTTTAAATGGAACACCCTGTATATTATTACATTTTTAGTTTCTATGATTAAAATAAAGGTAAATTTGATTAAGGTTTATCACCCTTAAACCTTACCGTTTTATAAATATTTTCAATTTTGTGAAATTGCAGTAAAAATTTTAAGGCTTCATTTCTCCAAGGGTATCAAAGTTTTTAATACTAGATATTTACTGAAGTTTAATTATTGATCAGTTATTGTGTTGCAATAATAAAAATAATACTACCTCATACAGAGTGTCTAAAAATTTATTTTAAATAATTTCCAGCTTTAAATGGCAATAACTTGTTTAATTTAAATAGAACACCCTGTATGTTTTAGGAGAATCAGATGCACAATTTAATTGTTCATCAAATTGTATTATGCCATTTTTACCTATCCCTTCAGGTTTTCGTAGAAAATGCATTTTCTTATAATTTAGACCTCATTTATCAAAATACCCATGGAATATTGTTATTTTAGATTGTTTTTAAAGCAACAAATGTACAGGTGCTAAAAACGATAATATTATACCAGTATTGGTATACAAAAATAAAACTATTTATATCTTTATAAAAGAGAAACATTAATTAAATATACCGCCATTATTTCCGCTAAAATATTAATTAATTACATATTTAATTGTATTAGTTAATAAATTATTCTAAATAAATGTGGATTTGGAATCAGAAATCAATATAATAATAAGTTATGAAAATGAACGCCTCTGTTGTTATAAATAAGCATCCGTCAAAAAATGAAATAACATTTTTAAGGTGTTACTTTTTACCAGGCTGTCTAATGCACATACAAAATTAAGGTTTTTAGTATTTGGAGCAATTATTATTAATCAACGCAAACAGTCAATTAATGTAGTTTGAATACTGGAATCATATTATTTTGTTCTCTTTTACAAATATTTAAACATTTTTTTTATTTTTTAATAACATAAACGAACTATATCGACAATATTAGTATCCGTACCATTTAAAAATTTGTTACATGTTTAAAAATAATCAAAAATGTCAATATTCCATGGGTATATTGATTTTTGAGGTCTAAATTATAAGAAAATGCATTTTCTACGAAAACCTGAAGACATAGGTAAAATATGATACAATACAATTTGATAGACAATTAAATTGTGCATCTGATTCTTGTAAAATATACCGGATGTTCTATTTAAATTAAACAAGTTATTGCCGTTTATAGCTAATTATTATTTAAAATAAAATTTTAGACACTCTGTATAAGGTAGTATACAGAGTGTCTAAAGTAGTTAGTGTAGGGAACAGCCCCACGTTTGTGACAAAAACGCGGGCAGAAGTGTTAGATTTAACAATCGGGAGTGCTGGTGTAATCAGTCACGTGAAACAATGGAGGGTCTCAACGGAACCCTCCCTATCAGATCACAGAATCATCGAGTTCAAATTAGGAGGAATCACACCCCAAACAGAAACTCGAAGGAATCCAAGAAAAACAGACTGGGACATGTATAACACCAATATTCGTAGACAACCTAAACCGTATAGATGCGAGTAGGGCCAGAAACCATCTGCATCTAGAATGGTATTAAGAGGGAAGTCAGTAGTGCAATATTGGATGCATATGAATCTAGTTGCCTTGCAAGTAAAGGCATACTAAAAAAGTAACAACAAGCCCTGGTGGAACAAGAAGTTGGCCAAACTTAGATCGAGGTCCGACGACTCTTTAATAGAACTAAATCCAGTGGCGAATGGCAGCTCTACAGCGAGAAATTAACTGAGTATAAGAAAGGAGATAAGAAAGGCAAAGCGGTCGGACTTTAGATCCTTTTGCGAAAACATCACGGCTACTCCTGATGCAGCTAGATTACACAAAGCTATGGCCAGAGCGGATCTATC